AGACTGAAAGCAACTTATAGTTAAAACTTCAGGGAAATAGTTGTGTAACATCATATTTAGTTGTGTAATACTGGACACTCCACAAATCCTGGATCTACAGTAATTCTTGTTTACTTTGGAATGTAATCACTACCAAAGATGTGAAGGAAAAAGAGCCCTGTCCATTTCTGAAACGAGTTATAAATGCACTTTTTTTTTTTTTTTTTTTTGCCATGGAGAAAATTAGAATGGTAGAGCTTTTTTTTTTTTTTTTTTGCCATGGAGAAAATTAGAATGGTAGAGCTGGAATCCCCAAATCTGCGACTTCCCAGTAGATTCGTGAGTACCCAGAAATCCTGAGTGACTCCCCAATGGGAAGAAAAGGTTGGGGTCACTGACCATCAAAACTAAACTTTGATCATTTCCACTACTTGTTAAATCAAATTGTCTTCCATCTCAGAAAAATCCACTCTTACTAGCACCAAGGGCAGTTTCTAAGGAAAAATGGGAGGGGAAAAAAAAAAAAGGTCAACCTTGGAGGATAATATATCTTCATCTTTCTGATTGCAGCATGAGGACTGTGTGATCATTTCTGTATTAGGACATGTGAAGCACCCTGTGTTTCACCATATGGGCTGAAACTCTCCTGGAAGCTAGGCAGACAACAGCCCATCTCCACGAGTTTGCTCAGGTGGAGCCTGAGGAAGAGCCAGGGGCTCCTGTGGGCATTTCCAACTGCATTTCAGTTCTGTGGCAGACTGTAAGTAGTGATGTTATAAGCAATCTACTTTCTTACTCTTTAGACATTTGTACATGGTAATTTTACAAAAATGATGGACATTTTTGTTCATGACTATAATATACCTCTTTTGGAAAAAAAATAGTTCATTTATATGGAACCTGGTTGTTACTGAACTTGAGATGAAGACTGCATAATGCAAGGTTTATTTGAGGAAAAAAAATTATCTCCCATTCTAGGCTAGGGAAGTGGCTCACAGCTTAAAGGAATCCCTGGGTTCCATTCCCAGAGCCCCAGCATGGAGTAAAACTGGGTATGGTGGTTTGTGCCTGTAATTGCTCAGGAGGGAGAGGCAGGAGGATCAGAAACATTGTTATTACCAATTCTGGACATTGGAACTTGTGAATTTGGACCAACAGGAATTTATCCCTGAAGAATTTGTCTCCTCCACGGAGGCAAAGAGCAGGAAGGTTTGTCTGGAATTGGTGAGCAGCTGTGCTGAAACAGCATACTCTGAAGGTTGTGACTCTGAAGATTATCGCCTACTTTTTCTTTGGGAACTGGTTGTAATCATTAAAATAGTATTCAGATTCAACAGGCTCAATAAATGCTTGTTAACTTGACCAAGTGTGGCTGTAGTTATGCCAGCCTGTGACCTAACGGATTTTTGTCCTGGACAGACCTGAGGATGTTTAGGGAATGGTCTCTGTGAAGTGAGAAGATATGACTGTTTGGGATGGGCCAATATTTCCCTCTTTATCATCCTGTTTGGGGTACCATTCTGTATCATTGCAAGATAATGGAAAATACAGTGATAGCTCACTGCTCTTTATCTGCTAATACAGGTAGAAAATTTAATCTGGACACAATCCAACAGATATCTGTTAATCTCCAAAAATACTGTTTGATATGTGGGAGCAGTAGGAAGAAAGGCAACATGGCAACTACTTTCAAATCACCTTAGTGGTATCAGATTTAACAGAAAGAAAAAACACACCCTAGCTACATATAACCTAAGTGTTTATCACTGGCTTAGCGACAGGAATGAATAAACCATTGATGTCATGACAAAATGGATTTCATGCACACAATGTAGAACAAAGAAAGCAGAAACAGCAAAGTACAAATTGTAGAATTCTATCAATACGTAATTCAAAAGCACAAAACCCAGGTCAGGCTGTTAGCACCCACAACGTTGGCACTGGTGGATTTAAAAAGGAAAGGATTTCTGGGTGCTTGGCCATATCTTGGTCTGATCAGTTTCCTGTTTGTGCCACTTGTGGAGTATCTTGATGCTGTTTTATTATGCATTTAACATTTTTCTGTATGTTTGCTGTCCATCATTAAAATTGATGTCAAAGGCTGGGCGTTGGTGAAGCACACCTTTAATCCCAGCACTTGGGAGGCAGAGGCAGGCAGATCTCTGTGAGTTTGAGGCCAGCCTGGTCTCCAGAGCGAGTGCCAGGATAGGCTCCAAAGCGACACAGAGAAATCCTGTCTCGAAAAACCAATAAAATAAAATAAAATAAAATTGATGTCAAGGACATGCAGATTTGAAAGCCTCACCCCAGACCCACTGGACTGAAATATCTACCAAGTATTTACTTACGGGAATCTGTCTTTTTGAAAAACTTCCCAAGGATTCTTGTGAATTTAGACATGAGTTTTTGATTTCCAACTGCTGTTTTAAAAAAAAATCAAGCAGATTTTATTTTTCTACCCAAGACCTCCTCTTTTTTCTTTCTATCAGGGGAGGATCCTTGTAGAGTGCATTGGTGTTTTATCATTTTACCATAGTGCTATTAATGAAAGTCATTGGTACCCTACCCACTTACTCCGACAGTCCCTGAACTGTTGGCATTTCAGGTACTATCTCAAAAAAAAATTTCCCCTCAAACCAACATGAAGAGATGGATAAGCAAAGAGGTGAATGTGGCAGTATACTTTAGAAACTGGATTTCATTATATTCTCTAAAGAAAACTTCATATTGGGGTCAGCTAGAGTGTAACTGCCAGACAGTAGCATCTGAAGATCATGTAAATCAAGTGTTTCCAGAGGATTTTGCCAAAATACTGAGAAATCAGAATATGCAGAGATGGTCATGAGATTACAGCTTAGGCAGGTTTCTTCTCAGACTGGTTTCCTATTCATGGAATCATGATGAGACAAACTATTTTTGTGAAATATTAAAATACAGATGACAATCTCCAGGAATCAAAAAGTAAAACATGTTCTGAGAGATTGTGGTTTGATAAGATAGGAGTGACTATGTAGAAAAAGCAGTTTTAGCTGCTGAGACAAATTTAATACAAAAGAATGAAAAACAGCCAGAGTACGAACCATTCCTGTTTTCTTAACTTGTGTAATTTTAAACAAAGGTGTAAGAAAAATGGTTTGTGTAGGAATTTAACTAAATCCAATAGGCACAAACTTTGTTTTTCAGGAGTCAGTGATACCACTGCAGTGTTCCGTTCTTTTTATATCCCAACTCACATGACCACCACACCTGGTGACAATGCTGACCCTCTTCACACTGCCCACACCCCAGCTGGATTCTGCAGAATCGTAGGACTGCTTCTGGTGTTTTGCAATGTTTATTTCAGAGACTCCTTCCCATTTCCTGAGAAGTAGGTTGCACAGCCCTAATTTTACAAGATGGAACGGGTAAATGATCTTCCAGGAACAGAAGTTTGCAAACTTGGCAAAATCCAAACTCCAGACTGATGTCCACAAGGAGGCAGAAAGCCTTGGGCCTGATGCTTATATGGTAGCTACCTCTTTAAGGCTTTGGCACACTTCCTTAATCTTTGACTTCCTGTCTCCAGGGTGGAGACAGGGTACCTACATTAAAGCCTGCTGGGACCATGTGAGACAGGCATGTAAACTCCATAGCACATTGCTTGGCATGGCAAACTTCTCAGGAAACATTAAAGTCTCACAGGCCACCCTCTCAGGGACTTGTCACTTGGGGAACTGAATTTTGACCAAACTGCTACACTGAGACTCTAAGATCCCTCAAGTAGATCATTTCCATTCTACTGCTGCTTGCTTCTAGCCCCAGGTGCACAATAATCTGACATAAAACATTATAAACTTTTGGCCTATGAAAAGTGGTGGCGCAGGCCTTTAATCTTAGCACTCCAGAGGCAAGGTGAATCTCTGTGAGTTCAAGGCATGCCTGGTCTCCAGAGCAAGTTCCAGGACAGCTAGGGCTGTGTTATATGGAGAAGCCCTGTCTCAAAAAACAAATGAACAAAACAAGTTGCATGTAATATATTAATTTTTTTAGACAATATGGTTTTTTTTAACCTGTTAAGTCTCATTAAGGAGCCTTCTTGTCATATGTTTCACCCTTGATTGGGAAACTGACAAGAGAAATTACTAGTTTGTTCTAGAAATGACTCCCCTCCCATTATCTGCATTCCTACCATAATATGAACAAATATTAACATTTAGTGGTAATATTCGCAGTGTGGGCTGGTAGAACAGAGCATCTTAGCTGGGTCAGGGCTGGGCTCAGGCAAGTCTGTTGAGACAGTCAGGTACTGATTTGCAAGATGACGAGGGAGCTCCTAGAACAAGAGGCTTGGATCTGAACCATTTGTAAATCCAGACAGCACACCTCTTGTGTTTCCAAGTCATTATGGGATGGATGCACTGTTAGTGCCTAATAAAGCTGCAAATGGAAAGACTGTCTGTGCTAATACTTCACACTTTGAGGCTGGCTCAAGTGAGCCCAGGATCTCACATCCACAGCTCCTTTCATGGGTATTGATAGGCACTTTTGAAGGCTCCAGGAAATGGCTTTGAAGGAGAGGTTCTGAGAGACCAGACTGCCTGTGGTCAAGCAAATTGTGAGGCTTGCAGCTGATGAAACTCGGATATTAATGCTAATGTCACTTATCTTTGTCCCAAAGGCAAATGAGAGCTGAGCTATTTTGCATTGCTGTTTCCCCCTAAATTTCAAAACCAGAGGGCTTATAAAGAGAATGCTGATTTCCTTATAAAGAAAACAACATGTTAATCACTTCAGGGTCAGTCATTACATCCTGTACTTATTATTATTATTATTTTTAAAAAACTACCCATAAAAGCAAGGCAATGCAGGAACATAGCAGGTACTAAAAGAAGAGTTTGTAACGAAATGTATTGCTGGTTGTGCTGGGCAGGTTTTGGAGAGCTCATTAGTGGATTGTGGTTTCTTCTCGAAAGCGTTTGGATTCTCTGCCATGACTCACACTAACAGGAAGGCTGATGAAATATCTCCAGCGGTAACTGGAATGTATTCTCTTTATGACTTAAAGTGAGATTCACTAACATCAGAATTAGATATGATCACAACTGAATAGCAGCAGAAAAGTGAAGCATGTTTGTGGTAAAATAATATTTTACCCTTTTGAGCCCTGACCCATCTCAAGTCAGAGAATAATTGGACATGCAGCACCAGTGCAGATGGCTGGCCCTCTGAAAGGGGCCTGACTTGCTTTGAAGACATGTTCCAGTGAGTTACAATGCCTTATCACTAGGAGGGGGCATCCAGGCATTTCTGTTTCTGTGTTTTATGGAACAGATAGAAGATATCTGGAAATTTGGATAATTAGGTAAAATTCTTCTTGTCCCTTTCCCCCACAGAATTCCCTTGAGTTTTCGGGGTTTGTTGTGCTTACTTATTGTTTGAGAGAAACAACTTTTGCTATCATCTGGGGCCCTGGAAATACACTGACATTGAGGCTAGGAGAGAAATGACATTCCCAGGTTTCTGCTTTTCTTGGAAAGTGTGTGAGTGATCTGAGTGGGTCAACTTCAATCGAGTTATTTTCCCTGAACACTTTCTCATTGAGGTTTTTCTTTTTCCCCAAATTCAGTGTTATTGCTTAGATAACTTTTCTGTAATAAATTATAAAATTGGGCATCTGCAATAAAAGCTATCATGTCCCTGAGTCCTTGAATTTTTTTTAAGAGGGTCTAGCTATATAGTCCAGGCTAGCCTTGAACTGTCTCATCCTTTCTAGGACTGGGATTACATGGCTGAGTAAGCAAGCGTCACATGGTCCTTGATTTTTAACTTGGTAGTTGTGGTGGTTTGAAAGAAAATGGCCTCTAAAGGGTGTGGCAATATAAGGGCTGTGGCCTTGTAGAGTAAGTGTGGTCTTGTTAGAGGAAGTGTATTACGGGGGAGGTGGGCTTTGAAGTCTCATATATGCTCAACTTACCCCTTAGTGTCTCAGACCATTTCCTGTTGCCTGCATATCAAGATGTATCCAGCACCATGTCTTCCTGCATACTGCAATGCTTACCTAGTGTGTGTGTGTGCGTGTGTGTGTGTGTGTGTGTGCGTGTGTGTGTGTGTGTGTGTGTGTGTGTGAGGCCCTAGGTTAAATACCAAGGACCACAGAATAAAATACAAAATGGTTGAAATCATAGTGTTGCTTTGCTCATATGTCTCTTCTCCCCTCCACTCCCAGATTGTAAACTGGGGGTGGGGAGGGACTGGAATGGGAAGCTAGAATAGGCCTTACTAATCCCTTCCATGCTTCTCATAGTTCCCCAATGAGTGTTATTTGCCAAATGTCTACCATGAACCAGGATAGTTGCCAGAAGAATCCTATTCAGTCCACCCAATAGCCCTCTGTGGGAGCTGGTACTACTGTCCCTATCTTCCTCCTCATCACTACACAGACCTCATACTTTTAGAGACCAATTTAATCCCAGTTCTCTTTTATTCCTTCACTACAGAGGACAGGACTGAATTAGACACACAGTCTAAGACCTTCTCAGCCCCCTTGGCTTCTGGCTGGGGCCTTATAGAAGATAAAGGAGAACCATCTAGGTTTAGGGGAGGAAAACAGAAGATAAGAAAGGCCAACATAGGAATCTAACCAAAGAAAGAGCAAGAAGCATTTAGGAAACTTATGAAAGATGTTTTCATTTCATTTCTGTTGCTGTGATAAAACATCCTGACTGAGAACCACATTGGGTTTGTTCTGCTTACAGTGACAAGATACAGTCCATTGTTTTGAGGAAGTCAGGATGGGAATTCCAGAAGCCAGTCACATCACATCTGCAAGAGCAAGCAAGAGTCAAGAGCAAGCAGAGAACCAATGCATCTTTACTTGCTCTAAGTGAGCTTTCTCCTTTCTCATACTCTTCAGGACTACTGCCACACCTAAGGAAAGATGTCACAACAAGCTGGGTCTTCCCACATCAAGTAACCATCAAGATTAATATTTCTCAGACATACCCACAGGCCAGCTTGTTCTACATTGTCAACTCAAGTCATCAGTTAAAACTAACCAGTACAAAGAAAAATGCAAATCAAAATCCCATAACACCTCAGAAATAGCCACAATGGTTCAGCTGTTTTATTAGGGGGGTTGTATTTTCTGGTCTTCACTGGAAGTTGACCAGATATTAATGTGTAATGCTCTGCTCTAGTAATACTGCTTTTCTAACTACTTTGAAATACAAGATGTTCAGATGTGGAGGCTTTCCCATGGAAAGAGGGTAAGACTCTCATTCTCAGCCCTTTCTTCCTCTCTTTAATTTATGGCACCCTTACCTCTCCCATAGTCTCTTTACTGTATTAACTTGGATAATAACAGTGTACTTAATGTGTGCAAGATGATATGAGGTGCAATACAAAAAGGCATTGCTTATCCTGTAGGGCAGTGGCTCTCAACCTTCCTAATGCTGTGTGACCTTTAGTACAGTTCTTCATGTTGTGGTGATCCACAACCATAAAATCATTTCACTGTCACTTCATAACTGTAATTTTGCTACTGTTATGAATTGTAATGTAAATATCTGATATTTCTGATAGTCTTAGGTGACCCCCATGGAAGTGTTGTTTAGCCCCAGGCTGAGAGTTGTGACCCACAAGTTGAGAACCACTGCTGTAGAGGAAATGAGATGTACATACAATATGGATTTGATACGCAGGCTAAGGGTGCAAATGGTCTCACTAGAAAAGCTCTCCAAAGAGAAGAGAACAGAGAACTTAAAAAAGGAATCATATGTTCTGGTGACATTTGGCAGGTGGGGAATGACATTTGTAGTGGTGTCAAAATAAAGGGTTTTATATGTCTACCTCAAACAATTTTTTCACAAAAGTACGTATTTCCATACTATATTTTCATGTGGCAATCTTGACTCTGAAGAACTGATGCCCTTTGGTATTCAGAGCAGATGCAGAAGAAACTCTTTCTGTGCTGTCATTTCAGAATCTTTGTCAGCTTTCCATCTATTCTGCCTTCTATAAGCATTGCACCCACATAGTACCCTAACATGTGTACAAGCAAACACTCATACATAGGAAATAAAATGAATAGATAAATGTTTTTTATAACTAAAAAATAAAAAAGATGATGGAATCTGTTGACACAAATAATTTTTTTTCTCACCTAATCTGTCAATTATAGTGAAATGTATCAGTAATTTGTTAGGATAAATTTTGCTGGGTTGTGTTGTCTTAGTCTGTTTTAGGCTTTTTTTCATACCATACTGGACTTGACTTTTTAGTATTCCAATAAGAACTTTTGCATCTATAATCACAAATGAAATTTGCCTATAATTTTCTTCCTCCACATTATTCTTCTCTGGCATTGGTAAGAGATCAATATGATTTTGTTCAATAGCATACTCTCTTTATGGAGATGGAATAATATAAATAGCTTGGAAGTGACCTGTTCTTTGTTAGTTTTGTGAAATAGCCCAGAAGTGTGCCTTTTATTCCCTGTTTTTGTTTTTTGTTTTTTGTTTTTGTTTTTTTTTTTGTTTTTGTTTTTGTTTTTTTGAGGCAGGGTTTCTGTGTGTAGTCCTGTCTGTCCTGGAACTTACTTTGTAGACCAGACTAGCCTCAAACTCAGAGATCTACCTGATTCTGTCTCCCATGTGCTGGGATTAAAGGCGTGTGCCACCAGGTCTGGCTTTGAACTTTAGTTCTTCAAACTGTACTACTTCTTGTAGTAGATAACAGATAACTTAAAATTTAATTTATGGTTGGTGGCATATTCAGATTTTTTTAAGCCCATTTTGATAAATCACATTTTGGTCATAGTAGACATCAATGATTTTTAGTAGCCTGAGACGTTCATGTTCTTCGGGAGGTGGCTTCCATTTCCAGTGGTCCTAGAGCTGCCATTTGCCAAGGTGCTGTTCAGCCTGCTTGCCACAGGGATGGGCACTAGGTCCAACTAGAGACATGTAGGGTCCTTCCTTGGACTAATAGATAGCTATTAGAAGGGGACACTTTCCGTTTTTTACTTTGATTGATAAATTTGCAAGATGTAGTTGTGTAAGATAGGGACTGTGGGTGGCCATTTTCCCTGGACACATGAAGAGAATGTGTTTAAACTGAGAGGAAAGCTGGATTGAGAAAGAAAGATGTAGAGGGAAAGAGAGGGGAGACGTTGGAGGGAGAAAGGGGGAAGTAAGAAGGAAATGGAGAGGAGGTAGGGGAGGAAGAAGAGGAGAGGGTGTTTCTTTTGTTTGTTTGTGTCTTTGTTTTTTCTTAAGATTTTATTTAGTTATTATGTATACAATATTCTGCTTCCATGTGTATCTGCACACCAGAAGAGGGCACCATATCTCATAACGGATGGTTGTGAGACACTATGTGGTTGCTGGGAACTGAACTCAGGACCTCTGGAAGAGCACTCAGTCAGTGCTCTTAACCTCTGAGCCATCTCTCCAGCCTGAGGAGAGGGTGTTTCTATGATGCTCCCTCTCACTATCTCCCCATCCCACCTCCAAACCACTCCTCAGAGAGGGTGAGACCTTCCATGGGGGTTCATAGAAGTCTGTTACATCATTTGTGGCAGAACTATTATCTGTCAATAGGCCCTCCCCCGTGTATCTAGGCTGAGAAAGTATCCCTCCATGGGGAATGTGCTTCCGAAGTCCGGGTACTAGGGATAAATACTGGTTCCATTGCCAGCGACCTATAGACTGACATTCTGACACCCACATTCAGGGGGCCTGGTGTCATCTTATGCAGGTTCCCCAGCTGTCAATCTGGAGTATGTGAGCTCCTACTTGCTCAGGTAAGCTGTTTCTGTGTGTTTCCCCAGCATGGTCTTGACTACTTTGCTCATCACTGGATGAAGGCTGTATGATGGCATTTAAAGTAGTCATATCCAAAGGATGCACATTAATACCACAAGGACATCTGCCCAACTATGTTCATAGTGAAGGGACCAGCTCCCCGTTTCGGCAGCCATGACAGTAACACGTGCTCTATGACCTTGTCTTAGTCACTAGAGGTTAGGTGCCTGCCTCGTGACAAGGAACCAACAGAAGTTAGCTGGTGGTGCTATGCTTTACGACCCTGGGTGTACTTTACGGACAAGCACACAGCAATGATGCAGAGCATAGCAACCACCCTGGGAGGGCCTATGGGCCATAACAACCAGTTGGCCAATCAACACAGGGCAAGCCCTCCAAGCCTGGAGGCTCACCAACCGTGAGCCTCTGCATACCCCTAGACACTCCCCTTATGCTGCCCTACAAAATTTCTCTCTGCAGCGGTTCGAGCTGTCTTTGCTAGCCATCTGGCATGGCGGGTAGGTGAAAGACCCTAGCTAACATGGGGCTAGCTCATTAAAAAAGACAAAAACAAAAACAATAAAGCCTCATGCAGTTTGCAGCAAGCTCTTGAATCCACCTCTTGATTGGGGTGACTGAGGTCATGGCCTGGGACCCTGGATACCTGAGTTTTCTGGGGGTCTAACAATAGCAGCATTATTTGTAATAGCCAGAACCTTGAAGCAATCTAGATGCCCCTCAATGGATGAATGGATAAAGAAAATGTGGTACATTTATACAATGGAGTACTACTCAGCATTAAAAAACAATGGCATCTTAAAATTCACAGGCAAATAGATGGAACTAGAAAAAAAACATCCTGAGTGAGGTAACCCAGACACAGAAAGACAAACATGGTATTTACTCACTCATATATGGATATTAGACATAGAACAAAAGATTACCAGCCTACAAATCCACAATCCTAGAGAAGCTGGGAAACAAGGAGGACCCTAAGAGAGGCATACATGGGCCCCCACCCCTCCAGAAGGGGAAAGAGACAAGATCTCCATAGTAAGTTGGGAACATGTGAGGAGAGGGGAGGAATTCCCAGGAATCCACAACGATGACCCCAACTAAGAATCTAAGCAATAGTGGAGAGGCTACCTTAAATGTCATTCCCCTATAATGAGATTGATGACAATAAATATTGGAGAGCTTGTGGGGAAAGAGAAACACTTATTCACTGCTGCTGGGAGTGTAAATTAATATGGCTTTTGTGGAAATCCTTCTGCAGGGTCCTCAAAAAATGGAAAACAGAACTAACATGTAACCCAAATGACCAGAAAACTCTATATCCTACTTTAGAGCCATTCACATATCCATGTTTACTGCTGCTATATGATAGGAACCAACTTATATGTCTACCAATAGATGAATAGATAAGGAAAATGTGGTACATATGAAAATGGAATATCATTCAGCTATAAAGAAAAATTAGTCCATGAATGTGGCAGGAAGATAGATGGACTTGCAAAGTGTCATATTGAGCAAGGTTACAAAAACTCAGAAAGAAAAAAATCACACATGTTCTTCCTTATATGCAGATCCTTACCTTAAGGTAGACATGATTATACAAAACATTGGAAAGTGGGGCTGTGTAACATTTAGAAAGGAACTCAGAAAGGGTAATAATAGGTGGTGAGGAAGAACATATGGCAGAGTCACAAGGATGTATAAAGCTAATTGTTTTTTCTAGTTTTAATTCTGCTGTAGTTTTTCCTTTCTTTTGTATTGGCTAGTGTATAAAGATGTAGTTGATAATGATCTGGGCAGAGGTGATGCACACCTTTAATCCCAGCACTTGGGAGGCAGGAGGAGGTGGATCGCTGTGAGTTCAAGGCCAGCCTGGTCTACAAAGTGAGTTCCAGGACAGCCAAAGCTATATTACACAGAGAAATCCTGTCTCAAAAACCCAAGAAAAAAAATGTACTTGATAATGAAAGAGTAAAACCCTAAACTAAGCTCCATGGCTTCAAAATGGCTATCCTAACTGTGTGTTCACAATTAGCCCCAGTTTGGAACGGGGCAAGTGTTTGAGTGGCTGCCTTCAACTAGCTGTGTGATATTTTTATTTATGGTCTAATTATAATAAAGTGAAATCGTTGTTTAATATAAAAAGCCTTTAAGATGGAACTATCACTATAGTTTTGCCTCCCCTCCACAATCAGTGTGTACTTTCTCATTGTGTCTTCTTTGCTCACTTACCAGAAATGATACCCTCGGGTTCACATCATTGTTTCTATTTCCAACTAAAGGAACCTGGGTTCCTTAGGGAAATAGTAGAGCCCAGTTTCCAGGTTGGATGTGCTTGGGGTGAACCTGGAACATTGTATCATACCTGGAAACATGAAAGCCATCAAGCTCTAATGAGCAAAGTGTGGACAGCAGAAAAGGGATCATTAATTGTAATGTGTTGACTCATAGCACACATGGAAAACATAACCAGCTTCACTAGTCACCACTGATGACAGCTAAGGCAGCAGTACATGCATGCATGCATATGTGCATACAGAATACATATCCTGTGTGTGTGTGTGTGTGTGTGTGTGTGCGTGCGCGTGCGCGCGCGCGTGCACGCTATGGCTCACATGTGGAGATTATAGAGGATAACTTGCAGGAGTCTGTTATTTTCTACCATGTGGATGCCAGAATTGAACTCAGGTCACCAGGCTTGGTGGAAAGCATCTTCACCTGGTGCACCATCACCAGTTCCAATTCATCTCTAATGAGTAAAGAAGGTTTAGGCATGGTGGTACTCACCTGTAACACCAGTGTTGGCCGTAGAGATGAGAAGATCGGGGAATTCAAGGCCAACCTCAGCCATGTAGGGAATTGGAGGCTAATTTGGTCTATTCGAGAGACTGTCTCAAATGAAAAGAATTGAGCAAGAAAGGAGGGAGGGGAGGGAGAGGGGGAATAAAGAAAGACACAGAAAGAAAGAAAGAAAGAAAGAAAGAAAGAAAGAAAGGAAGGAAAGAAGGAAGGAAGGAAGGAAAAGAAAGAAGGAAAGAAAAATCATGTAGCGTTCCTTTTCTATTTAAATTGAATTTAGGGAAACCAAACAATTGGTGATTAAAGTTTATTTTTTTAATGAAATTGTCTCATTAATAAAAATGCAGAAGAAGTGACAGACACAGAAAGTCACACATTTATAGTTCTGTGTCACCAAGCAGCATGCTCATGAATCAACATCAAAGCTACCAAGTGATGGTTTTGTGGTGCAGAATTTATTTTGGGGGTGGTGATGGAAATGTTCTAAAATGGTGGTGGTTGCATAACCATGAATATAGTGAA